ATTGTGACAATATTAACGAAGAAGAAGAACAAGAGAATGAGGACATCGATGTTGATGATAATGCTAAAAAAGAAAAAGACAATTTTAATTCAGACCGGTTGACAGCCGATACTTCAGAATCGTGCAATATTGAAGAATTTTCGCCAGATCAAACTTGTGATATTGGATCGATCGAGTCCAGCCAAAGTGACCATGAAGATTCCTTGCCACCGTCTCCTGTGTCAGCGTCTTTGGAACGTGAAGAAAATTTTCTTCGTCAATTGGGTTGGCAGAAACCTTATGACAAAGATGACGACAGTCAATGGGCGATTACCGAAGAAGAGAGGCGATTGTTCATCAACTTGGTTCGTGCTCTAAACGGTGTTTCTATCAACGAAAATAATGAGGTTGACACCGGAAATACATTATCGAATGGAGAAATTAATCGCGCGAATAAGAATTGGGCCGCAACTGTCATGATTAAAAAACAGCAAAATGGTAACATTTGCATTCAAAATGAGGATAGTAAAGCTAATAATATCGAGTGTTTACGACTTCTCGTTTGATATGAAAATCGACTAATGGTGACGTGATGTAAGATTGCTAAACACTTTCGGATTATTCACATTACAATATATATAATCAACAAAAAAAAAAAAAAAAAAAAAAAAAAATTCTTTTTCACTTATATATATATATATATCTTTTTTTTTCTGCGGTTATAGACATTACTTTTTGTGATACACCGAGTGTATTCTTTCGTTGTATACGGTGTGCTGTTCGAATTGTCTGGCTTTTTTACTCTTTCATTCATCATTCGATCTTTCCCTATTAACAATTTTGTGATCATATTATATGTTGAAAATTGCGCGTTCAACAATAAATAAATGACCATTTCGAAAATCTGTTTAGGCGCATTGTTCACGGCGACTAGCAGTTTTGGTTTCCAAATTATGCAATATATAAATATAAATATGTATTGGTTAAAAAAAAAAAACATTCTGATAATTATTTACACAATGAATAGTATATATGATTCAATTTACAAGTAGAGCTAAATTGAAAAAGTTCTTTTGAAAATATATTCATAATAAACTGTTGCAAATATAATCTATAGTATTATAAATATGATAATTTTAAAATTTTATTTAATTTTCTGATTATTATTAAATTTAAACTCATTATATAAATTTGAATTTATTTAAATAAAATATTTATTATATAACAATATTATAATTAAATATTAATTTAATTTGTTATAATAATAATATATATACAGTATATATTACAATATTTGTGGTTAGGTTAGATAGTAGTTTATTAGTTTTAAGAAGACAAAAGTATATATTCATCAAAGAAGAATGAAAAATATTACAGTTAAATATTTATATAATATTTAATAAACTTGTCATAGATGAAAAAACTAAGTTTGATCTTGAGGTAAAATAAATCCCTAAAATAGTTGATAGAAATATAAGTAAGAATATCAGATTAATTTTCAACCAATTTTTTTTTTTTATAACCCTCTGTTAGGCTAGTTATGTGTGCTGTATTAAACAATTATAAGCTATACATTATATATGTGTCACTAAAGCTAAATCTCTAACTAACTCACTTGTCAAAGTCT